ACAGTTATATGTAAATTAAATGAGATGTTACAAGTTTTTTATGATGCTACTATGTTATTATCTGGTTGTTATTATCCAACTATTACTTTAGCTGCTTTACAAATTTTAAATATTCAAAATTTTTTTACAAAATATCGTATGGATGATATTTTTGGAAGTATAATTTTTGAAATGGAGAGTAAATTTAATAAGTATTTTAGGCCTATTCCTCATATTTTTGGTATTGGTGTTCTTATTGATCCATGCTTGAAGGAAATTGGCCTTCGAAGTTTGTTACAATCATTGTATGGTGGACAGATTATAGACTTAGATGATGGATCCACCCTTACTGCTACTACTCATTATTTAGCTATTAGAAATTATTTTCAAACCTTATATGATGAGTATGCAGCTAGATATGGTGTAGCTACACAACAGTCTTCAGCTTCGGCACCTTCAGCTTCGAGCATAGGTCGAGGTAAAAGTGTAAGTTTTGATAGGTATGCAATGGTAGCTGAACTAACTGGTGGATCTGGAACTTCATCAGGATTAGATGTTTCTGAAATAGATGAATATTTTTCTGCTTCTTTAGTTAGATGTCAAGGAAATGCTTTAGATATTTTGCAATGGTGGAAAGTATATGGATCAGTTTCATATCCTATACTTTCCACCATGGTTCGTGACTTACTATCAGTGCAGGTTTCGACTGTAGCCTCGGAATCCGCTTTCAGCACAGCAGGACGTTTGATCGACGACCACAGGACATGCTTAGATCCGTATACTGTACAAGCGGTGATGTGCTTACAGGATTGGTGGAGATACGAGAAGCGAACACAAGGCATCGAACGGATTGCTATGATTGAAGATAAATTTGAAGAGTTGGGACTAGCAGATAGATATAATGATTAGATAATATTCATAAAATTGTAATTTTGTTTTCTTAGCTTTAAATTTGAATTAAATTATTTCGAAAAAAGTTGCAAATGATAGTGATATGGGTGAGTAGGTACCAACCTAGTTGGGATGTACTCATCTATTGTGATGCGACGAATTTCGAAATAAATTTATACTTGTAAAGGATTTGTAAAGGATTTACCGATTATTAATAAAGAAGTTATTTTTATCATTTTTTGTACTTGTAATTTATGTCATTTCATTTCAAGTTATTAATTAAATTTATGACATTTTTATAATAATTTATGGTTTATGGTTTTGCTAAAATTAAAAAAAAAACAAAAAAAAATTCTTAAAAAAAATCAAACCGGGCCGGCCCGGTGTCCGGCCCGCTCAGGCCCGGGCCCGGGCCCGGACCCGGCCCGGACCACCCGGGCCCGGGTCCGGGCTTGGGTTTTGCCCGGCCCGGGCCCGGTTTTCCGGGCCGGGCCGGGCCGGCCCGGATGGACAGCCCTAGTGCACACTGTAGGAACCTAGGAAATTAGTTCAGGTCAGTCGACCGATGAACCCCTATCGGTCGACTGATAGCGGGCTGAACGAGTTGAAACCTGTTTCCTAGTCAGTTTTGAGTTAGAGTTTTGTATAAATAAAAGTATGTGCAGTTTTTGATTAAAAAAGGGGTTATATCAGAGACTTTTGAGCACTTTGAGAGGGAGAATTTTGAGGGTGAGTGAGATCTTGTTGGTTAGGCTTATTGTGATTGTTTGAGAGTTGTGACCCATTGTCTTTATCCTCCATATATTGAAATCTCCCCATCCTCTCCCCGTAGACTTAGGCAACTCGCCGAACCACGTATATCTTTGTATTTGTGATTGATTTTGGCTGTTCTATTGTGCATTGTGCTCATGATGTTCTTCGTTCGTTGCTTATCGACTCATTGTGGTTTGAGTCCGCTTCCGCTAGGCGCAACAATAACTCCATTATATCTGATACAGGTGTATCTTCTCTTCAGAACTTAGTGATCCTCATGAGAGCTTGAGGATAGCTAATTCTCATGGTAGCTTGAGAATAGAGGTGTAAAACAGCACAGTGGAACGCAAGTTGAAGCGTGGAACGAGACGACGAATCAAAGAATCTAGTTTTCAACCCGTGAGTCGACTCATAACAGTCATGAGTCGACTCATCAGGTTGAGTCGACTCATACCTGTCATGAGTCGACTCACGAAACCCAGCCTTTTGTAACCAGTCTCTGACGAGTCGACTCATCTCGGTCATGAGTCGACTCATTGCTGGTTTTATGTTTTGTCCAGTTTCGGACGAGTCGACTCATCTTAGTCGTGAGTCGACTCATCGGAGGTTTCCTGGTTCGTTTGGGTTTCTGTTTGATTGAATTCCTGTTGGGTTTAGGCTTGGTTATTTACCACGTTGCCATCCACGTTGTTCTACCTATATAAGGGGTTGTTTAGGGTTTCTAATCAATCAGATGTAATCAAAGTGAGATTCTAATCAAGAGAGATTAGGGTTTAGAGAGAATTAAGAGCTTGTTCTCGATTCTAGTGAGATTGTGAGAGAGGGATTGTAATCTTTTCATACTCATAATCTAGAGAGGGTATTTTCTTTTACCACATACTGATTTATTCTTGTATTTCTGTCATCCTCTTCTCAACCCACCTTTGATAATTCCGTGAACAAAGGTACTCGCACGGCGACTCGTATCAAGTTGGTATCAGAGCGATCAGATCCGGTAGAGGGGGCATCCTGTGTATGGCCTGACTCGATCGCAATACAAGAAGCTAGGCGAGATCCTTATTTCATTAGAAGGAGTCCAGGTTTTAAGGAAGAAGAAGATGGCTGAAGGAGACAATTCAGTGAGGATTGATGCATTGGAGAAGCAGATCGAGACGATAGGGTCTACTCTCACACAACTCGTCAGCCTTATCCATGGAGGTGATAAACAAGGTGAATCTTCTTCAAAGTCCAAGAAGAAACACAAGAATAATTCAGTATGTGACGAAGAAAAATACCCTCTCTAGATTATGAGTATGAAAAGATTACAACCCATCTCTCACAATCTCACTAGAATCGAGAACAAGCTCTCATTTCTCTCTAAACCCTAATCTCTCTTGATTAGAAGCTCACTTTGATTACATCTTATCCATGGTTCTGATATTTTGAAAGTTAAAGGAAAATATTTCGACAAATGTTCAAAGTTAAGCGGGGTTTTCTAATATTTACCCATTCAAAATATGTAACATTCTTTTCCCGTAAAACATGAAAATATAGTTGGCACGTGCCCTCTACACTAGTTACTTTGAAAGGATCTGATAATGGCATCAGGCCCCTTATATAAAGTGTCCTTGAGATTCCTTTTTGATAGAAAGTGTCCTTGAGATTCCTCTATATCTCTTACCTTTCTTTTGCTCCAAGCTCCAACTAGAGGGCACTTTGACTATAGGAAAAGGGATACCCCAAATCCCCTATCCCATTGATTGCTATCTCTAGTCACACTTTTGCTTGCATACAGTAAAAGAGGAGAAATGTATGTTTAAAGTTTGACTACAATTTATAGTTAGGAGTGGACTCCAACTCAAAGATTAGTTTTAAAACCGTAGAAATAAGGCTAAAGTTTAATGTGGAACAGATAAAGGGTGCAAGTATGCTAAGAAAAAGTTGAAGGAGACCAATAAGAAAAGGAGAGGTAAAGTGTGATTCACATAACATGTTGGATATATAACTTTAGGCTGAAACACATGTTTCCATGATTGTGTTAATAGAAATGCTAATCCTATAACAACTACCTAACTATGGGAGATAGATTTTTTTTCCTGCCTCTAATCATTGTGAATGGCTAATGGTACTCTGTTGATGTTATCCTCAAGGCTCGGTAATAGCTGATGCTAATTCCTTTCATTCACTAAGCATCTAAGTAATACTGCAGTCTAAAGAGGATCTCTCCATCAGATGTTGTCTACGTAATTGGCGCTCCTAGCGTGATGACGTAGAATGTCTCTCCGCTGTTGTAGAAGCTAAGGATGATGAATGACAGTGTTAATTTTATCATGTGCACGCAACTATCACGTCCTCACTCGTATTTATAACATAAAGCATGGAAAGTAGTTCCTCTAAGATCTCAAAATATACTTTAATTTCCAAGTACTTAGAGTGCAATATTCTCATCTGTAAATCACTGATCTGAACAAGACTAAAAGAGTCTTAGACCCCGTCTTGATCCCGACGCGTTTTCTTGGGGTGTAGGTTGCTCGGTCATCAAGGCCTCACAGCCTCTCACAAAACTAGGTTGACTTTTCTAACAAAAGTCTCTCGTTCCTGTTCTATCAACATGACAACACCAACGTCTTCTTCACAATACAATCTCTATAGGTTCTGCTGTCTGTATCTTGTTATGTGCACGCTGAAGTTATGTATCAACCCCACTATGTTTCTTCACAACAAATTGCACTTTTCCCGACGCTTATTCCCGACGCATGGTAAAATACGTCGCCAAAAACTATGTTTTTCCCGACGATTTTAGTTAGCATCGGCAAAACATATATTTTCCCCCACGTTTATAATTAGCGTCGCTAAAAGTGTATATTATTTGCGACGTTTTAACTTAGCGTCGGTAAAAGTGTATATGGATTTTTCGACGTTTTTTCATTTTCGTCGGTAAAAGTATAGCTTTTAATGACGTAAAAATATTCGTCGCAAAAAAGTATACATTTGACGACGCACGTTAGTGTCGGCAAAAGTATAGTTTTTAACGACGAACAGTTTTACGTCATTAAAAATAAACATTTTTACCGACGCTATATTACGTCGGCAAAAGTATAGCTTTTAGCGACACAATACTATTGCGTCGCTAAAAGCTATACTTTTGCCGACGTCGGCAAAAGTATAGCTTTTAGCGACACAAAACTATTGCGTCGCTAAAAGCTATACTTTTGCCGACGCTTTATTATTCATACTAGTATTTAGGCCCGTGCAAAGCACGGTCTCTATTTTTTTTTTTTGCAAATACTGAACACATTACCAAAATAAAGCATTCTGCTTTAGATATAAAGTCTTTCAGAAATGTTAGATGCTATTTAAGAAGAGGAAACTTCACTCCTCCTTTGTTGCATCTAATATAGACATCAGAAACAATTTGCTCCTTCAAATTTAAAAATAGATTATGTTTCTTAAAAAGTAATATTTCAACTTACTCCTGTTTGCGTCGAAAGTTGCTATTTTCATTGCTATCGAATCTATTACAACTTTAGTCGTTACAATAAACTCGAATAAAATAAAAAGTTGATCTTTGTATAAGATCTCCTTACACAATGAAAATAAAAAAAAAGAATTTACAACTTTATCAAACAAACACAGAGATCGTTTATCGGTCTTCTGCTTGCGTGGGATCTTTACCTGTGCCGGGGTTTATCCGTGGACCGCCTTAGATCTGGATCCGGTTGATGGAAAATTCGGCAGAGCTTCGCCTTCGTCGAGGAAGTATTCGATTTGAAGCGCTGAAATCGACCAAGCGAAATCAGGGCTCTTCTCGAGATTAAGACCAAGCCTAATCTCAAGGAACGGACGGACGGGGTTTAGATCCTTCGAATAGCTCCTTCTTTATGCCGAAGTTCGCCGGGATCTGATTTGCCTTCGCTGAAATTCGTGCTCCTTGACTCCTCAATCCAGCAGCACCTCCACGTCTTGATAATAACTCCGCCCTCGAAAATGGAGGCCTTTGGCTTGTATTTATAGGCCTCGAATGCGGTTATTTGGATGAGAACAAGTGATTTGGCTCTATCTTCAGTCAACAACAGCCTAACCACGTTTGGGGATGATCTCAAGTCAGTTAAGAACCCCTAGAATCGATAAACCCTGCAAAAAACCAATTTAAAACCGTCAAAACGTGGTTTGGGACCTTACTACGCGGCAGAACGATCCGACCCGCGCTTGCGCGGGTCGGATTGATCAGTCCCGCGCTTGCGCGAGTCGGATCATCCCGTCCTGCGCTAGCGCGGGTTCGCCGACTTTTTCCCTTTTTCTGTTTTCTTTCTTCCGGGATTTATTCTTGTCGCGTATTCGGTCGATTTGTTGATTTGTATGCTTCGTCGCGAGACCAATCATTGAACACGCGTTGATCGATGTGCATGAACTGATTGACGCGCGCGTGTTGATTAACGCATGCGAGCTGATTGGCGCGCGCGAGCTGACTGTCGAGCGCGCAGGTCACTTGATTCGCCGTTTCGCTTCAGGCGCTTGTCGGCGTCAGATAATCCTCTTAGACTCGGATAACGATGTTCGTCGTCTTCTCTCTGTCTCGAGCTGTGTGCGGATATCTATAGGCATTTTTAGACGCCTACAGATACCCCCTCCAAAGTATTCCAGACTCATTCTTTTATTGAGGAGTCTGGAATGCTTTGGATAAGATAGGTCATCTCCTCAATTTCGTAGAGTGACCTTGAACTATCTCAATTCTTAACTTCTTCAGTCTTCAATCTATTCATTATTTCGTCGAATAGGTGAAGTTCTTCCGGCGCTGTGTTTATCGTCTGACCGCTGTCGAAATCTTGAACTGAGATTGGTGTGTAACTTTCTGAACTTAGCTCGTGCCATTGAGTTGACTTTGAACTGATCCTCTCAGTCGGGAATTCATATCTGATTGTAACTGAAATTCTTGGAGTCATCTTTTGCCTTATTTTGGCGAAATTGCTGATGCGTTGACCGGCATCGATCTTTACTGTAACGCGTTGACCGGCGTTAACACAGTTTATACTCGTACGTTTGCTGGAGTCTACACAGTTTAAGCTCTTAAGGCATTGGAGCGTGACGGTCCCGAATGTTGGGCTGCAGGACCAACTATTAAAGCTGATTCATCTGCACGTGTGGATCTTATCCTGAAGTTTGTTGGATGTTCAAGTCATGAGACCAACTAATAAAGCTGATACATCAATGACTCGTATTTATAGAATTTTTGGCAAATTCTCAGCCATCAACGGGTTTGATAAGCCTTTACCGACTACCGTTTGAGTCGGGCTAGCATGCGGATTGTTTAAGTCCGTTCTGCATGTAACGTTATGCTAAAAGAGTTAACGGCAACGTGAGTTAGGCGTTGACTTATCCCTACTTAGGGTTCGAGATAAAATTCCCCATGCATAAAAGGCATGGATTTTTGTTGCTACGATGCTGAATACGTAGACTCGGTCGTTTTTACGGGAACGAACCACCCAGCAACGCGGGTTAAGCGTTGACTTATCCCTACTTAGGCTTCTGGATAAAATGCCCCAGACTGGATTCTGGTGTCTTTTTCAATCGGTGAAAGACTAAACCGGCAACGCGAGTTAGGCGTTGACTTATCCCTACTTAGGGTTCGAGATAAAATTCCCCATGCATAAAAGGCATGGATTTTTGTTGCTACGATGCTGAATACGTAGACTCGGTCGTTTTCATGGGAACGAACCACCCAGCAGCACAGGTTAAGCGCTGACTTATCCCTACTTAGGATTCGGGATAAAATACCCCAAACTAGATTCTGGTGTCTTTTTTAATCGGTGAAAGACTAAACCGGCAACACGTGTTAGGCGTTGACTTATCCCTACTCAAGATTCGGGATAAAATTCCCCGTGCGTGTGAGGCACGGATTTTAGAAGTTTGAAAAAGCGGAGTCTTCTCTTGGGGCAAAGACGAACCCGATGCGGGAGAGGAAGAATTTTACATTCTATCTCCCAAAGCTGAAGAGGAAGAATTTTATATTCTATCTTCAGCTGGAAAGGAGACTCGAGGTGGGATCTCCACTCCTAGAATCCAAAAAGATGAAACTAAGAGTGGGATCTCCACTCCGAGAATCAAAAAGATTCGGATAACCCTAACTGTCAGAAGGTTTGATTACCGAACTAAAGGTGAATTTCTCGTTTATCGAGAGTGAATTTATGGTTTTGGTCCTAACTGTAGGAAGGTTTGACCAAGTGGGAGGTTTGAGGTGACCCTAATTATATTCTATCTCCAGTTACAATTGAAAACTCAAAGTGGGATATCCACTTCAAGAATCCGAGAAGGTGAAACTAAGAGTGGGATCTCCACTCCGAGAATCAAAAAGATTCGGATAATCCTAACTGTCGGAAGGTTTGATTATCGAACTAAAGATGAATTTCTCGTTTATCGAGAGTGAATTCTCTTTTTGGTCCTTACTGTAGGAAGGTTTGACCAAGCGGGAGTTTGAGGTGACCCTAACTGTAAGAAGGTTTGATCACTCGATTTGAAAGTGGACCTCACGTTCATTAGAGGAATCGAGAGGGGATTTTGATTATGGTCCTAACTGTAGGAAGGTTTGACCAAATGGACAGTGGGAGTGGGAGTACAAATCACAATGTGAGTGTTGACTTGTACAAATCACTCAGTAGGGGTTCTTAGTGTCAAGTGATAAGGACTTAACACGAAGGGGTTTGATAATTCGTCAAAGATTGACAGATGATAATTCCAAGCATTATATCCGGACTCTAATCATGAAAGTGTTGAGTACATGAACATAGCGGAAGTTCGAATGAATTAAACCGGAAAGAATTTTGGTGATCCCATCGTCGGTTAGTCTGATCGATGGGGGATTTTTGTGGTGGTGGCGACTGTGAGTCGTCGAACACCAATGGAAGTTTTGTGAGAGAAGATTGATCCAACGAAGTGATCGAATCTCATCTCAGCAAGAGAGTGTTCGGAAATCACAATGGGTTTAGTGTTTATCACTTTATTCATAATGATCGGGTTATCCCTAAGAAAATTACATGTAACATTCTTCCGGGAACTTCCTGTTACATGAATCATCCACCCCCAGCTTCTTTCGTGAAACTGGGTCTAACATTATACCGAGTTACATGATCGGGTTATCCTTAAGAATATTACGTGTAAAAATTCTCCAGGAATTTCCCGTCAACGGTAGGAAACAGTTTAGACTCATATACTAATTGGAGTATCAGGGAGCAGTTTAACCTCTTATATCGGTCGGAGGATTAAGAAGTAGTTTATACTCTTATACTTGTCGGAGTGTTCATTCGGCTCAATTGAGCGATATAACTCCGGCTTCAACCAAGGTTTGGATGCTATTCTTAAGAGCGAAGCAAGCCTTGGTAGGATGAAGGATCCTCCTGTGGTACGCACAGTACTTCGGATCTGTAGTATTATCAGCTTCCTCCTGATTTGTGATAGGTGGTAGCTTGATCTTGTTGTTTTCAAGGAGAGACTCGAAAATGGCTGGAACATCTTCATCCTTGAAGGAGTACTCCTTTTGGAGTCTTGGATCCGAAGTCTTTGCGCGTCTTCAACTCTTTCCAAGTGTTGGACGGTGCGACTCCCATAATTTCTAATATCTCAATAGATAGGTTGTTATGACATGTCTGGAGGATGAAGTCCTCCGTGATCGGATCTCGGCAGTTCATTGCTTTATTCCGAAAGCGCTTGACGAAGTCGTCGACTGTCTCGTCATCTTCTTGTTTCTCATCGAAAAGTGTCCTGATGGATACCTCATCGTCGTCATCAAAGAAACTGCCAAGGAATGAGCTCTCCATATCGTCCCAGTTGTTAATACTTCCGGGCTTGAGACGGCGGTACCAATCGAAGGCCGGCCCGCGAAGGGTGCCAACGAATGACCGAACCATCAAGGCTTCATTGCCGGAGATCATACCCAAGTGGGACTTGAAGTAGATCAGATGTTGAGTGGGTGAACCCTTCCCGTCAAACGGCGTGAAGTTAATCAAGTTGAACTTCGCCGGGTATGCTATTGTGTCCCACTCTCTTGGATATGGACATGGAATGCCAGTCCTCTTTACCTCTCGATCAGACATTAGAGCGTTGATTTTACTCTCGAGATCTTTCATTTTCTCATCCTCGCTCGTATCGGGCTTTGGACGATTCTTAAGAGGAATAACGGGGCCACCCCCAGCGTTGTCGTCTTTTGTGGGGCCACCCCCAGCGTTTTGGTCAACGAGAGGGTTATCAACATTGAGGCGTTCATCCACATCTGAATTGCTACCTACTTGGTTAGCAGCGTTGTGACGGCTGGATTCGCCCATTTGATTGGAAAGAGCCCGAATCTGTCGGTCGTGCTCTTCCTTCATCCGCTGCATAGCCATTTCTATTTCGAATTTAAATGCTTGCTTCTGCTTCGCTAGAGCATCCTCAACCATTTTAGTTGCTTCTTCGGTGTTAATCATAAACACTTCGCGGGATTGCCCTGGGCTAGATACCGTATTGTCAGAAGCGACTGCAGAGTTAGCATCCGATGCTTTATCGTCCGAGGATAACCCTCTCTGCATTCTTTGGTAGTCCCTGCGTCTAGTGGTCCCTGATCGCAACCGGGTTAGACGATGAGATATAAGCGGGTCAGAGCTAGAAGGTCGAATCGACTTTCCCTTATCAACCATATTTATTGTGACTTCCGGGAGTTCGTCACCTTGAACAACCGATCTCTTTTTACGGAGACGCTTTGGTTTGGACTTAGTCATTCCGTTGGAGATCCTCTCGGATACGGAGACCCTCTGCGGAGCGGTCTTGGAGCAACTGCACGCTGATAATACTCCCCTGATTAGTTCGGCGCACGGGTAGTGAGATTTGGTTTCTCGGGCATATATCTTCTGAGACTCGTTCATACCCCCAGCCCGATAGTACAACTCATCGATCAGATGACCGGAGCAACCTATCGTGTGTTGACATGACTCCCCTGGTATAAAGTTGTCATCGTCAGATGAATGCGTTTCTTTCAGGGGATTTGCCGCTTTATTAGCATTCTTAAGAGTCACGTGTTTAGAACTACGCTTTTGGGAGCGCAGGATCTCAACAGGCTCTTGCTTTTGGATACACACCCCCAGGTGGGCGGAAATTGGAGTTTTCCCTTTATGAGAAGGCTTGAAATTGTTGCGACGGCGTGTACGACCCCCAGCTCGACGAGTCGCTCGGGGTTCAGTCACCGGACCCAAGCGTTCTTCGATCAGAACTTTGCCTCGATCCTCGTGCAAAGGACCCAGGCGAACGACTATCCTCACCTTGAATCGGGACAAATCCACGCTGTCACGGTGCCCCGCCGGAGGTACGGAACTCACAGGGATCGACGAAACAGGTGTAGAACATCTTCTGCCTTGACTCTGGCGCGGGTCAGATTTAAGTGACCGACGGGTTGGAGGGTCGGATTCAAGTGACCCGCAAAGTGGAGGGTCGGATTTGGGTGACCCGCAAAGTGGAGGGTCGGACCCAAGTGACCCGCGATTTGGAGGGTCGGATTTGGGCGACCTGCAGATTGGCGGGTCGGATTTGGGTGACCTGCAGATTGGCGGGTCGGATTTTGGTGACCTGCAGATTGGCGGGTCGGATTTTGGTGACCTGCAGATTGGCGGGTCGGATTTTGGTGACCTGCAGATTGGCGGGTCGGATTTTGGTGACCTGCAGATTGGCGGGTCGGATTTTGGTGACCTGCAGATTGGCGGGTCGGATTCAAGTGACCCACGATTTAGAGGGTCGGATTTGGGCGACCTGCAGATTGGCGGGTCAGATTTGGGTGACCTGCAGATTGGCGGGTCGGATTTTGGTGACCTGCAGATTGGCGGGTCGGATTCAAGTGACCCACGATTTAGAGGGTCGGATTTGGGCGACCTGCAGATTGGCGGGTCGGATTT